GGACAGACAGTAAGAGAGCAAGGCTTATGACACTGGGCCCTAAAAACCTCAGGCTCTATTACAGTTACTTTTGGCAGAAGGAGGCATCAAAGAAGGAGGATCAAATCAGTTTAAACCTTGGGAACGGACAAGAGTCCCACGAGTAAATAAAAGGAGCAGCTCTACAGTCGAGGCCAGCATAATCAGGGATATCAGATGACATTAAGGGAACTAGGAAACCCAAAAGCTAGCTTGTATACTCCAGAAATACCAGTAACCAGAACAAGGGCAAAAGTTACTCAGTTTTAGATTCAAATTACTGCAGATAGAGATTTGCCAAGCTACTTGGACATGTAATTGGGTTAGAAAGTATTCCTGTGTATAAACTTCAGGGATTCTGTGTGCTTTTCAGAGTGAAAAATATAAATGATTTCTTACAGGACTCCAAAATTGTTTCCTGATGAGACTCAAAGTTGGGTTTTATTTTATATTTTATTTTATTTTATTTTATTTATTTTATTTTATTTTATTTTATTTTATTTTATTTTATTTTATTTTATTCTGTTTTGCTTCTGAACACAGTATGCATACCTACATCCTGCCTATAGAAAGGCTGTGGAAGGCAGCCTGTCAGGCTCTGCTAAATGAGAGGCAAACACAGCTCTGTGGTACATGGCTGTGGACTTAAATGAGAATGGGTTGTCTCAAGGGAAGAACATTTCATGGCTGAGTTCTTTTATATGAGCTAATCTTTTCAGAAATGGCACTGAAAGACAAGAAATGAAACCAAATTAGTATTTCTTGGTCTAGATTTTCACAAAGAAATAACCCTACTTTATAATCCAAGTGCAAATAATACAAGGGGTAACTGCAAGAACCAATAATCGCTTCTAATAGGAAGATGAGATGGTATTCTAAATGACACATTTTACACAAGAGCTCAGCAATCTGAATTTGATACACCATGAAGCAAACACTTTGAGCAAATTGTATTGTTTTCTGATGCTTTTTTTTTTTTTTTTTTTTTTTTTTTTTTTTTTCTTTTAACCTTCTTTTTCTTTACCCTCATTCCAGGAAGATTCATATGTACATGTGGTGTTTAATAACAGATTCTTTAGTTTTTCATCAGGCTGTATTGTTCTTCACAAATACTCAAAGGACTACTAATTAAAAATATCAAAAAGCTGTGAATCCTGAAAGATTAATAACTTTTACTATGAATTCTGGTTCGATTCAAGTTTAGTGAAAGCATAAAATATCCCCTCTCACTATGAAGTAGTGGGTACTTCATAAGCAAGTCTATGTTCTAACCAAGCAGCTGAAACAATACCTTGTGACTGTAAACTCTACAGGCTCTCATCTATACTGACATGAAAAAGAAGATTCTGCTATATAACCCAAGACCACTTTCAGAAGTAGGAATGGGCAGAATTAGGAATTACCTCAAATATTGGATGAGTAGCAAACTAGTAAGAAATCCTAAAGGTAATTTTCTAATTACCAAACACAGAAAATAGAAAAATACCGAATACAGAGTCAAAGAAAATACTTTAGCTCATGAATTATTTGTGAAATATCTGAACATTAAATATGTTTAGATAAATGAGGATTACTATGGTAACAGAAAAAGACTACCTTTGTCAGAAAGCTTCTTTAACAAGGATGCTACTGTGATGGAAGGACCTTATTGGGAGGGGGGGAAGGAGAGAAAAAACAAATGATGTACCAAATGAACTTTTATTTTCTTATTCTGATCTCAAAATTCACTGTTGACTTGAAGTCAACAATTCTGCTCTATTCCTATAATGAATTTCTATTTTGCATAACAAGATCTCAAATCACATGTGTATAATAAATACGTCCAAGTTTAGGTGCATAACTGAAGTCCAAGAGGCAAAACAAAAATATAATGAGGCTCCAGGGGTTCAATATTGTTAATGAAGGATAAAATACCTGGACTTGTTTATGTTTCTTTTATGTTGGAACGGTAGATTAAGAAGTAGTGCAGCTTTATTACATATTTCTATTCAGATGTATTTTCTTCTACAGGTCATATCAAATTTTCAGCCCCATGAAACCCTCATTTTTCATTTGTGTATATCTTAGTGGATTACACCTTCAAGAACATAATAGTTACAGATATTTAAAATTCTTCTAAGTTGTCATCCCTTATGAAGCAATCTCATGTTTTCATTCCCCATCTAGAGCTTCCCTTTTAGCCAAGCATGAAGATTTCTACCCATAATCAACTGATATTTGACAGACACCATGAGCTAACATATTTTCCCAGAAAAAGAAAATTTAGTTTCCATAATGACCTGAAAGGTAGGTCATAGTGAATTTTGTATATTGCTCAGAGATTAAATTCTGTCTTGTTTCCAATCAAGAATGGCTACAAGCCAACAAAGTTGCAGAGAGAAATACTAGAAGGTTTGGCAAGAACTGTATCTGTCTCTGATTAAATTTAGGTATTCCTTGACTTGTCGAGTTTCACACATTGAAGCTGAGATACACTTGGCTCCTATTCCCTGAAGTTAAGATGACATACATTTACATTTTGTGACATCTCTGCTTCTTCTTTATCCCATGATCCCATATGGATCATCTTTATCACAGTATAGTAGTATGTCTAGCTTATATACTTAAGGAGTAAAAAAGAGGCCAGAAGAGAGCTACAGAATAAAAAATAAATAAAAAAAAAATTGTCTGCTGGGGAAACAATACCTTGTGGGGCCAAGACTATAAAATACATAAAAAAGTAGTCATGGTCTCCCAAAAACAATAAAGATAAAAACAGTAAAATTTTCCTATTTTTCTTCCCATGGAAGATTCTCATTCCAGACGAGCTTCCCACCAGTTTGCTGAGCTCTTCTGTAGGGTATCTTTTGACAAAGCTATCCAGTCATATGAAGCTATTTTTGTCTGCACAACTGTATTAGTGAAGACCAGCAGTGAAACACAACATGATTTATATCTCTGGCTACAGTGTTATCGAAGTCTTCTAGATTGGTAGCTACTCTGGATCTCTACATACTAGCTACCTGAAATCCTGATTTTAAATTCCAGCTTTTGTCCTCCCATGTCCATCACCAGCACAGGGTTTGGAATATTACTTAGCCCACTGTCCTCCACTGGAAACACAGAAAGGTGGTAAACTGAAAACTGGAGAGAATCGAAAAACAGTTTTCTGCTGCTCCCCTGAGCTTTTCTTCATGGTGGATTAGACACCAATAGGTGTCAATTCTGGACATTTTTGCATCATAAACATGGCTGAATCCTAACCCTTAATTGAAAACTGTAAATTATCTCTATCCTATCATCAAACTCATAAGCAAAAATTACCCTAAGGAATTAATATTTGAAACTCTTTCTTGAATGATTTAAATTTAGATTTTCAAGAAGCTTTTGAAAATATTATTTGACAAAGCTCTTTTAAAAGAATTGAACATTAAGTCTCTCAGGTATATGTGTTTAAGCATGTGACATTATTATATATCCGTCATTATTATATAGACATTATTATATATCCAATATAACATATTGGTCATGTATATATGTGATATTTTATATATAGTATAAAAATTTTCCTAAGTGAACTTGTGAAGAGGTAAATAGTGAGACAAAAAAAAAAATCAAATAGTACAGAATTAATTACAATAGTCAGCACAGGAGCTGACAAGAAAAAGTTGCAGAATAGTCTTATGACACAGCATACGTTTGGTAGAATGGTAAATAAAATTCATCCTTCATAAATGCAAATCCATACATACCATGAAAATAAACCATAAGTTGTTGAACATAAGATTAAATATTAAGTGACAATCAGGAAGACAGTACTAGAAGTAAAATTAATAGTAAGTTCTCTGAACTTACTATAAGTAAGTTAGTAATTTATAGTAAGTTATAGTTAGTAATTAATAGTTAATTATGGTAAGTTCTGTTTCCTTGTAGAAGAAAGACAGGGAGCTCCTGGAAAGAGTCCAGCAGAGAGCCACAAAGATAGTACAGGGCCTGGAGCATCTTCCCTATGAGGAAAAGACTGAGAGACCTGGGTCTATTCAGCCTTGAGAAGAGAAGACTGAGAGGGGATCTTAACAATGTTTACAAATATCTTAACTGTGTGAGACAGAGGGATTTGGTCAACCTCTTTTCAGTGGTTTGTGGGGACAGGACAAGGGGCAATGGTCACAATGAGCACAGGAAGTTCTGCACCAACATGTGAAAGAACTTCACAGTGAGGGTGATGGAGCACCTGAAAAGGCTGCCCAGAGAGGTTGTGGAGTCTCCTTCTCTGGAGATATTCAAGGCCTGTCTGCATGCCTACCTGGGCAACCTGCCTTAGGGAACCTGCTTTGGCAGGGGGGTTGGACCCGATGATCTTTTGAGGTCCTTTCCAACCCCATCTGTGATTCTATGAAAACATTTTTTTCAATGTTCAAGAGATGACAACAGAAAACAGGATTATGAAAACAGTAAAGAATCAAATGGAAATAAGACACTCTGATTCTACCCAAAAAGAACACAGTAAAATGGGTTAAAAAAAAAAAAAAAAGATCACAGATCACTGGGGATTTGGAATGTCTTCATTTGACGATTAAATAAACTAATAATCTTCAATATGGAAAAGAGAAATTGGAGAGAAACTGGGGAAATTGGAGAGAAATATGCAGGATATGTGATACACATTGATAGGGTGAATAGAGAATAACTATTCACTGTTTCCCACAACATAAAGACAGTGCAGAAAAAAAAATGAAATTACCAGGCAACAGATTTAAAACAAATAGAAGGAAGTATTTTTCTTGTGACACATAATCACATTGTAGCACTCATTGCCATAGGATGTTGTGGATGCCAAGAGTATAAATGGGCCCAAAAAGCAATTAGACAAAATTTATGTAAGATTTCATGGAAGATCTCTGTACTGAAAGTCCCTCAGTCTCAGATTATTGAAAGCTATAAAGGTATAAGCAGGGAAAAAATTATTCTGTGTTCACCTTGTTTTGTCATCTTTCCCAAAGTTTGTGCCTGTTGCCTCTTGTCCTGATACTGAGCACCACTGAAGAGAGCCTGGCTCCAGCCTCTATGAACACTCCCTTCAGGTATTTATGGACACTGATAAGATCCACCTTCTTCTTCATCACCTTCCTCTTCCTCAGGCTGAACAGCTCCAACTCCCTTAGCCTCTCTACACAGGAGGGGTGCTCCAGTCCCTTCAGCATCTAGGTGGCCACTGGACTCTCTCCAGTTTGTCTAGGTCTCTGTTACACTGCGGGTCCCTGAACACCCCACAGACAGCTTCACTAATGCTGAGTAGAGGGGAAGGATCACCTGTCTTCACTTGCTGATGATACTTTGCGAAGAGACTTTTTACTCAAGCCTGTAGTGATAGGTCAAGAGGTAATGGCTTTAAACTGAAAGAGGTACATTTAGATTAGATATTCAGAAGAAAATTGTCACATTTGGTGGTGAGGTACTGGAACAGAGAAGCTGTGGATGTCCCATCCCTGCAAGTGTTCAAGGCCAGGACAGATGCGATTTTGGCAACCTGGTCTAGTGGAAGGTGTCCCTGCCCATGGCAGCGGGGATGGATCTTTAAGGTCCCTTCCAACCCAAAACCATTCTATGATTCTCTGGTTATAAAAGCTTGAATAGATGTTCTGATCCAACAAAGTTGTTCTTATGTTTTGACAGCAGGATTCAACTAGATTCTTGTTGGAAATATGATCTTCACTGCTATTCTGGAGTAAGCATATTTTGAAACAAAATTCATGTCTGGACCTTGTATCAGTGGTTAGACAGTGGTTGCCAGATCACGATGATATTGCTGGTTTGATGCTGTCCCAGGTTCAGCAACGAGTAGAAGCTCTTGACAGCTGTTTTATTCTTATAGGATAGGATTGATGGGTTGTGTCCCAGAGATGAGATGTTGCATCATAAAGACACATTCACAATTAAAACTCCCAAGGAAAACAATCTTTTCTCAGTATACTGAAACCTTCTTCGTTAGCAAGGTAGATTGATTGGGGTACAGCACAATGTTTGCAATTCTGTGCAAGATCTTACAATGTGTTTCTGTAAATCCTTAGTAATGTAAATGAAGAGTAATTTTCTGAAAGTAAACGATACTATCCAAATTTAGTTACTGCATTATTTAGGATTGTGGTTCTGGACAAATTTTAAGTAGTCTGGGAAATGAAAAATTCAGAGTTCATTCCTGCTTTCAGAGTCCATAGAAGAGCTTCAGTCTGGAGAACAGCACGTGACAAGACAGGTGTTACTGTAGAGAGAATTGATGGAGCCAGTGTAAGTTGACTTTGCTACTTCCAGAGATGAAGCTGAGCTGGAGTTTGGCCCATTCATTTTCCTAACAGGTAAGGAGGCACTGTACTGTTCAATAGTCAAGGGAAGTTGGTGGGGCAAGCAGGCAAAGGACAAAACGGAAGCAGAGATCATTTCACATCTGTATTACTAATACTTTAGTTTATGTAATATACCTCAAAGGTGGTGGAGGATTAAGAAATTGTTGAAAACTAACTAATAGTTCAGAAAAAAAACAATATTATTGAGGTTTCATGCTGATCATTTTTTATAATCTGTGCAGCTCTTTTTCATTTCCCTGCTTGCTTTGCATATATCTCCTCATTGACTGCTATGAGGAATTTGAATGCCATAATAGTTATTTGGTGGAATACTCCTGTTTTTCATCAGTGCTATTAAACAATGTCACTTGGAAGCCAGGCACACTCCTGGACATGTGGACACTGAGGCATATCATGCTCTGCACAAACAATTAATAATGTTTTAGATAGTACAGATTATATATGAGATACTGAGAAGCAATTGGTTTTAAATGCCTGACAAGGAAAGTGGTCGAACAAGTTTGAACGGTTACAACACTGACAAAACCATAACCATGAAGTTCGAAGAGAACAGAACAAACAAGCCTGTTTTCTAATAATTTAGTATGTTTTAGGTGCTAGAAATGTTGGGAACAGGCAATCTATTGACTGATGCAAAATTCTAGCTGGTGTGAGACATGACTATACGGTTTCTGCCAGTTTGCTTTAGTCAGATTAACTCAAAGCATCATTGTAATTCCGGCACCAGATAGTTGTATTTCTGCCAACAATGCCAAGTCTTTACTTACTGCTGAAATAAGCCTATCAAATCTAAGGTCCCGATGAATAGACTGCAGTGGGAGGATGGCAGGAATTGCTTGCGCAGGCATGGCACGGGGGACACATTTCACAGTGATCAGCATCTGAAAGACATCAGCGAGCAGCTAATTGTCTGTAAATTACTGTGTTTACCAGTTCAGCAGGGCAAATACTAACCTAATGATATTTAAATTTAATGCCACTGCTACACAATCAGACAGAACGTAAATTAATTCTTTTTAAATTACAGCTTTCTCACTACAAAAGCAAACAAATAAATGAGAAATAATAACGTTTTAATTCACTCTTTCAAAGTGAAGTTCATCATCTGTAGTGTTTACGCTTTGATGGATTGCTCAGGCGTAGATTCACTCATGTGCCACCTGACAATGTTGCAACCAAACTGAAGAGCACTCTGATTTAGCTGGAACTTTGAGAGGTTTTCTCACTTTTTTTTTATTTTCACTACAGCTGTCCATTTCTGCCCTTATATGAGGTAACTGCTACCTTAGCAAGCAAAATCAGCATACCCCCAAACGTTTTCATCATATTTGCCTAATTAATTTATTTTTCTGGTTTTGGTTTTAGTTGTGACTTAGAAATGAAATGCATCTGCAAAAGGAAGGGATAAGTTCTGTTCTTAACATTTTGGGAATGCTGATAAAGCTATGAAATTGGAAATGATTTGTTTGCATCCTAATTCTTATTCTCTGTCTAAGGGTATGAACACATCACTTTTTATCATGTTATGCCTTGAATCTTCCCTTTTGCTCTGTGAACTGGTTTGTCAATCTATTTCAATTCTACTGTGTCTTATACACCTTCAGAGGCACACAAATAAACAGTTTAATCCTTTAAATATCATTAGAGCTTTTCTATTTGTTCTTCTGTTATGCTTTATTGCCTTCACCATGTGATATTTCCTCATTCAAACTTTTTGGAACCGTGTTTCTTTCACAATTCAGAGGCAAAAGGGTAATGCAACCACCTTTCCTCTCATTTTTTCCTGCTACGTTATCAACACCGACGTGTTTGCAGTCACAATCTACTGGCAATGTGTCTTGTAAGAATTTTTGAGACGAAATACGTCACTGCCAAGGCAGGACTGCACTATACATTTTGATGAATTGGTAATCAATTAACTATAATAAGTGTAATCATAAATTCTGATTAGCTGGTAAATAGTGTGAGACATAGCTGCAAATTGATGCATTTGAGATTCTGATACATCCACCTAGAGCAGTTCCTTTCAAAATGAGCTCTTTGTCTAGGCACAACTAGATCAGCCAAACCACAGAAGTTCCATGACGTAGGACTGATCCAATGAAAGTATATACTTCTGTATACTTCTATATTCACTTCTGCTGATGCCTTTAACCTATGTCCCTTGTGTTACATCACAGATCTGTTCCGAAGATTCATGCAGTATTCTCAAATTTGATGCCCTGAGTGCAGATTTATGAGTCTGGATGATTGAGTGGAGCGGACCAGCACAGGTGGTGATGGAGTTAGCAGGTCCCAGCCTGACCTGCACTATTTCTTATCATAAGCTCAGTGATTCAGTGGCTGGGCACACATCAGGATTGGTATGCTTAGAACAGAAATATCATCTGCAAGACTCCTTCCAGCACATTACTTGTGCTGTCACTCCTGCCCAGGTGGGGAGATCAATACAAGTTGTGGCTATATCTGGCAGAGTCAACTTCCAGTACAGCTGCTTCCAGGGGCAGCAGCCAAGCTCTGAAGCAAAAAGCAGATAGAAAAGCAGCGCATATGGCAATCTCACAGAAAGTAGAGGAAAGGCTAGACACAAGACAACCCAAAATATCACATAAAATGCACAAGAGAATTGGTCATAAACACATAATGTATGATCTTTCTAATGCAGGCAGTGACCATTCATGACCTGACCTTGCAAGTACACGTTGAATTGTTCTTTATCTGTTCTACCAGATTATCTGGTTCTGCACAGATATGACATAGTTGCTTATCATTAGACTTCTTAGCTAGGTCTAAAATCAAATAAACTCTATGTCCTCAAGCCTGCAAGTGTGATAAATTAATTTTAAAATTCCACCAGATTAAAAAAAAATAAAATAAAAATAAAAATAAAAAAAATGAACACTTTGTCACTTTGTCTTAATTGTTCATTTTGTTGGGATTACTTATCTAAAAGTATGAAAAGAAAGTTTGTGCTTTGCATCTCTTTTACTACAACAGTTTGAGTTTGTTTTTTTTTTTTCCACTGGCTAATAAACTGTGTATATGCATATATACATACAGACACACATATTTCCACATACATATGTAATAGCTTCCTGAAGCTACAGGAATGTCAGCGTTCTAAAATTGTGACATTTTCATGATACTAATAAACCAATAAGAAGCAGGCCTGCTGTGGATGTTAGGAGGTCATTTTCAGCCTTTCTCTCTGCTGCAGTACAAGATCAGCTTTGTGACTGTTGATGAAATTTGTCTATTCTGTCATTAAGAGCTTTAGTAATGAATATACCTTAGTCAGTGTTTCATTTACCTAATAAGTAAATTTACTATATATATTTTTTAGATTGCCTTATATTTTTATATTTTTATTTACTAGACTCTTTCCATTAATTGTAAATACTGTCCCAAAATCGTGTCTAGTGAGGCTAAGTTGTTTGTAAGAAATAGGCAAGTACTACAACTGAGAAAAGTGGTTGTTAGTAAGTTCAACATACTAAAATTGCTTGGCTATACACATGAAGTGAAAGGTTAATTTTCTTTATCTTCATGATTTCTCCAACAGTACAGAATTGTAGCAGAAATGTGAAGATTGGTATCATTGAAGGATATACAGAAAAGTTTGTGTTCAAAAACACCACAAGCAGGAGCTAAAATAACAGCCTGTATTGATAACTTAGGACAAAACCAACAGCAATTCAACTGGCAGACACTGAAGAATGTGTTTTTGTAAAGACTAGAGGGTCTGTGGTCTGATGAGAAAGGCAATAAAGATGCACAGTATCATATGCATAATTCTTTTTCCTCTTATCCTAAAAGGAAAACAAATTGTAGTGATGAAGATACTTCAAATGGGAAAATAATACAATGGGCAGCACATTACCTAAGATTCATGGAGAGTGAAATTAAATTCTGAAACAGAAGAACCACCTTAATAGAATTTTTGGTTTCTAAAGGATATTGAAGAGCAGCCCAAAAATCCATTTGTCATCACCAGTAAAGAAGAAGCCAAGAGACATAGTGAGGACTCAACAACCAATAGTTATCGTTACCCACATAAGACATACAGATCATTCTTTCCAGACCAGGTGGCATACACATCTCTGTGCTTATGAGGGTACAAGTGAGTGAAAGTTTAGGAATGACTGGAACCAATTTTGTTTAAAATGAGTTTTTGTAAGTTCTCACACTGAATTTTGTCAAATTAATTTCCCACAAAGTTGAGGAGGAAAGGGAAGGTCATATTGAATTGGTTGTAAACGGTCCCCAGTAAGAGACCAGTTAAAATAAAACATAATCAAGCAAAGGACATTGTTTAAGAAATCTGTTCCTTCTGTGAGTGCCTTGTCCATGAGGCAACAGAGTTATTGTCCTGACTACAGTCTTTCCTGATAGGTAGCTCCAACTCAGTTCTGCAGAATAAGGCCCATTCAACAATATCAACCCGACGTGGCCCACAGAAAATCTGGTTTTGAAATAAGCAGATTATTTTAAAAAGGCACCAGAAAAAGGACTGGAAGCCAAATTTCCCATATCCTCAAAGAGTACTTTAACCATTACACAAAATGCAAGAATTCGTATCATGACTATTATCTCTTCTATTAGCTATGTTTTAAAACACAAAGCTAGAGCTCTGAAGCTTTGACTGAATTTGAATGATCTCAAATCTGTACATGGAGTTACACACACATTTGGAGCACATTTAGAGTATGGAACTGCTCTGAAGTTTTAAGAGCTGTTCTGGATAGGTTTGGGAATCTAGTGGCAAAAGTGGAAGCACAGCACCAAGATGCTTAAACTGGGACAGAGCAGAAGCAAAAACACTGAGCACCAAGGAAAGAGGCAGGAGGACTTGCTGAAATGAAACATTTACAGCAAACCCATGAAGGCTTTTGGAGCTGCATTGAGTATGAGATTAAAACACCTAAATTTAAGCATTACAGGTATCAAAACTGTGGAATTGTTTTATTTGCTACTAAGGTCACAGTCATAATATCTGCTCTAAGGTGAGCTGAACTGCTCTTTAGAGTCCATTAACTGTGTTGATTAGACTTCCATCAACTATAATAATAGCTGCCTATTATTATAATAATAGGCATGCCTGTGTGCATCTAAGTATAAAATTCAAAATTTAATGTTCTTAATGTCTAACCAGGAATCACTTTCCTGTGTTCTGACTTTGTATGTGCCTTGCTATAGATGCCATTGGTCTTTCTTTGGATATGCCTCTAAATCACATTTCTGCAATAGTACCTTTATGAATGTCATGATCAACAACATTTTAACAGTGAGCAATTTGTATTTTTTCTCACTCAAATAACAGCATTAAATTATCTAATTCTTCAAGTTTCATCTTGCAGAGTATGTTCCATACAGTTAAAAATTGTCATAACTGCTCTAGTTGTTTGGATACCATATTCTGGGTTAATGTCTCCTGAAAGGTTAACAATGGACAGAATATGTGACATGGAATTTAGTCTGAAAGAATTATTTACTGTTTAGCTACCATCATTTTTCCATTATTTACAGATAACACAACATGGAAAAATTTTTGCAGATACTTCTATTTTAACAGATCAAATTGCATTTTTCTTTTTATGGTAAGGGTAAACTCTTGTTCTTGGAAGTCCTGACAACAATGATATCTGAAATCTCTTGTTGAGTCACACAGCAACATTCATATCTAAAGACAAACTAAAGTTCCCCCACATTTGGCTGCTGGTAGTTTCCATGCTGAATAAAATACTCCCAATAAAATACTGAAGAATCAGATTAATTCTGGCTCTTCTTTTACATTACTCTTGCTAGTAAGCTCACTTTGACTATACATTTGTTAGAACACAAGTAGAAATCAAGATTTTGGGGTTTTATTGACAGTTCTTTGGTGTATGTTCAGATCTGTGCAGTCTCTTAACTTTTTTGTTTGTTTGTTTGTTTTTGTTTGTATACTATTTATGTATAATACAGAATCTCAAATACTTCAGCATGAAAACAAATTTTAAAAATTACTTTAGCTTTCACAGTGTTGCTTTTAAAATACTTTTTATTCATCTTAAACATCACTACAGTGCTGGTTTTTAAACGAAGTCCTGATTAAATGAATTTAAATGAAGTCCTTCTGCTCTTATTCACAAACACCTTTCAAAAATTCATTTGGGCTGTGTTTATGCTCACTCTGATTTGGGTAACTTTGAGGAGCTCCATGAACACACATCAGCCTTGTTCCCTTCTTGGTGTTGGTGGTGCGAAGCAGAGGAAAGAATACCACACAGGCAGTGCAAGAAGAGCAGTTACATGGGAATACCTTGTCCCAGGCAGGCATCTCTTGCCCTCCATCCCCTTAACTGGGGCTGTAACCTACAGAGTTTTACAGAGGCCTTTATGGTCAGTGGGGAGAAGAAAACTGGCATGAGCATCCTTCCACCCACACACCTTTGACTGAGCTGAACATGACTTCTTTGCTGATTATAGCTTTATAGTTCTGAATACTCCCACGTGGTTTTGGTACATTTAATTTTTCTGGTTTGCATCCAAAAGGCATATGTCTAAGTGCAAGGGAAATGAGTTCTGGCAGGAATAGGAATAGCCTTCAACTAGCCCACGTGTATCCTGGCAGTGATGTAGTATATAGAAAATTTTAAAGTCCCATCATTTATTTTTAATGTTTTTCAGAAGCAGTAGGACATAAAAAATGTCTACAGAAAACGCAAGATGAGTGGCAGAACAAGAATCTTCTCTTTTCTTGCCTGTCTCCAGTAACAGTTTGAGGATGTCCTGTTGCTAGCTAATTCCACCAAAAATGACAAAAGTCACTAAATAAATTATCCTCAGGACAGGTTTTCATTAATATAAAGGCTGTAGTAATTTTTCTCCTGTTTTGAAACTTTTGAAATCTGTTAACTTTTAATAGCTGCCTACTACATTTTCTGAAATGTTATTTTAGAAATATTACATATCTTATTCTCTGCTTATATAGGTTTTCAGTGTTTTATTTAATAGTACAGCTGAACGTCTCATTTTTCAAAGTTGTTGCAAAATATAAAAGACACTGAAATAGAAATCTAAGACTGACTTTCCTATATCCTGGTTTTAAAATATTTTGTTGTCTTTTCTTTCTGTAGCAGTGAATAACTACTTTATAAAAATGAAACTATTTCAATTATTTTTTTCTCCTCTATATTCTGTTGATTAAAGTGTTCTCACATAAAGGGAGAAGTGTCCTCGAGATCCTGACATATTAAAATAAAAATGTGAATATTTGCTTTTTGCTTTTCACATGAACCAAGCAGGCACCCCATCTACCCTATTTTTTGGAGTTAATGTATATATCCATTACTGCATAGACTGTGAAAGTCTCCATTATTTGTCAGAAATGGTATGACAGCATCCTTTCTCCATCCAAGAGAAGATAGATGGGAAGATGTCTGGTATGGCAATCCTGTTTGGGATTGAGGGCAGAGGTTTCAGCATAGGTCCCCAAGTGATGGAGTATCCTTAGTGGCAGAAATTCACAGAGTACATAAAGCTAGCACTACCTGAGTGAAACATTTTTTCTTTGTATTTACTTTGCATGAGTATTTTTTGGTATTAGATGTCTGCCCAGAGAAGCCACGGATGCCCCATCCTTGGAGGGCCAGGTTGGATGAGGCTCTGGATAACCTGATTTAGTGGAAGGAGGGTTGAAACTAGATGATCTCTAAGGCCCCTTTCCCAAGCCATTCTGTGATTCTATGATGTGGAAAAAAATTCTTGCAGGTCTTGTAGGGATACACATGCCAAAAAAATTTGCAAGGTCCCGACAGCAACATGTAATCATGTAGCTTTATAAGATACCACATTATATTCAGGACCTACAAGAAAATGTTTAGTTTAAATAAGTAGACAATGCAAAATAA